GTCGTTGCATTATAATGTTTTTGTTAGCCTATCCAGTTGAAGCCACTAGATGCGGCGCTGCTGCGAAAATCAATGCGGAGAAGATCTTGTTTACATCAAAACTGAAACCAAGCCGTTCACACAGAACACATATTTCGTGCATTTTCTAGAGGGACATCTATTACCGGTGCACTCACATATCGCACAAAGGAGCCGCATGTTTAGAAAGCCATGTAAAATTAATGCAAGTTTAACTTTGAAAAAACATATATCAAGACTTTATGGCGGGGTTTTTCCCCATCCCACTGCATCTCATGTTTTTAAATGAAAAATGTTCTCTGTGTGATTGGCTTTCGTCGCATTAAATATCGCATGCGATTTATCGTGCAGCCCTAATTTTAAATTCGAATATAATTTGAATTTTGATAGTATTTAAGTACAAAATTCGAATTTAGTTTTTCAGCCATTTTGACGGCCCTAGCTGGAATCACAGAATCCAATCATAAATAATGGAATTTACAATATAACGTGTCTCTTTGTGAATGAGCTGCTCAGCTACTGCACAACAACTGCACATACTCAAACACGATTGATGCTTCTGCTGTCTCACTATATGAGGACATGAACACATGAACTTCCATCTCCAGAGCTTCTCTGAGTCACTTTACAAGCTTTTCACCATTTTATTTGATAAAAAAAAAAAAACTATTGTTACATACACAAACTCAAAGGTCTTCACTACAACTTGCCAAAATAGAAGTTTGGTTTAATCTGAAGAAATTATGACAGAAATATAGCCTACTCTTGCACAGAAAAATTTACTTCAAAAGTAATAACAACGACAACAGTAATAGAGTTATTAAAAAACTTAAGGAATATAAAATGATTTTTCATCCATGTTTTAATTTCAACTAAAAACCTCTGTTGTGCAGCACTGTGTCAAAAAAAATGAAAGGAACTGTTTAAAATTTAATTTGATTAATAAATCATAAAACAGAATCCAGAAAAGTTTAATCAGAAAACACAAAAATAAAAAAATACTAAAATTGGGAAAAAATAAAACTGATTTAATAGAGCCCTAAATACAGATAATAAATGAGATTTATGACATCATTATTCACCTTAGGAAAACATTAGGTTTTATGGACGAATACATGTGCTGGTTAAACTTTACAATCTGTGAATTGAGCTTAAACACTCCGATTTATAAACCCAGTGGGCTAAGCTTCTACACAACAAACTCACAACTCAAACAACCAACATCAGCTTAAAGTTTATAACAAATAAAGTGCCATGAAATGTAGCATTCAAATCAGGGCTCAAAATATTGAAAATCAATAGTTTCGTAATAAACAAACAAAAGCCCTTGTCTTGTTGACACTTCACCTCTGAACACTGGTGACATTTGACTATGCATCTAAATGCCATACAGGTAAACAATGAACAGAAGCAAATCAAACTGAAGGTTGAGACGTCAAAAGACTTCACAGTGATGCTTCTAACCTGTTAATTGCTGCAAAACTGTTTTTAATCATAATGTCACATGGGGCAAATCTTTCTTAAATGAGCAACAGTATAGTTTCAGCAAAGAAAATGCCGTATAATGACAGCAGCAAGTCTTGAAGAAGGTTGTATTTAAACATGCATACCTGCTGATGGTGAGATATCCATCGCAACGCTCAATACTCTGATGAATGCAGCCTAAAGGACACAAGAACGTTATCTGGTAAATATGCAATGTAACCTGAACCTGTCAGGTCTTTAGAGGAAACAAAACTTCCTTAAAACTCTCAACAGATTCTCTCTGCCTATATATGTCCAGTTGTTTTTCTCTATCTCTCTTAAACACACACGCTCCCGAAGCTGCATCCTCTCCAGCCTTGCGGCAACTTCCTGCATCTCCTGACTAATTTTACCCAGCATCCTGACCCATTTCCCAAGGAGCACAAGGAAACCGGCACAGAGGAGCCGATGCAATGATGTCCATACGCATAAACAGGCTGATGCATTCTGACGGCCAGCCCAAACATTACCATGTCAAGATTTCAGAGTGGCCTCAAGCTGGATCATGCACCAGCAATGACTAAACAAGGACAAAGACTGGTCTCTTGAAAAAAGAAATAAAAGGCTATAATTGAACCATAATGCACTTTTATCCATGTACAATGTGTTCTTTCATCCTTCTTATTCTATAAATATATATCTGATAAATTAAATCCATGAAATGGAATTGTAAATGCCAAGTCAAAACAAACAGTCGATATACTGCAAACAGACAGCAGTCAATACAATACACAATATATCTGGCATTTCTTAGATTTCTAAACAAACTTTTTTTTTAAAGCCTTACAACACATCACAGCATTTGAGGTTTCATTATTTTTATATTCTTTCCTGCTTCCTGGCAAGTTAGTGAGTCAAACTGAAACAAGCCAGACAATATTATAGTGTGGTCGACACATGGGTAACCACAGAAAACTCTGCACGCTACATAATATTCACTAAAACTCTAACCGGGTGTAACAGCCCAAACACTTGTTCTCCTCCTTTGAGATGACTGAAGGTTAATGCAAGAAGCGAAAAGACAAGTAAACTACCAAGACAGTAAACTAACACTTTTAGGGTGGATCTGAAGCAGTCAAACTCAATAACTCAAAACAAAGACTAGCAATTTAATCTAAAATGCCTTATAGTCCATTATGCTTATTACAGGGATAGGCCTGAGGTTAAGAGTCATGCTGAATGGAATAATAATAACCAAACAACTATTGTTCTTCCAGCTGAAATTACAAACATTTAAGCATTTTTTGCATCATAAAAAAAATGGAAGTTCTTCTAAGGAAAAGGGAAGGTTTTAAACAGGAATCTCACTGCACTGAAGGTGCTCTCAGCAAGTTTCTGTTCACATTTATCTGGTTTTTATTCATTGTTGGAATAAATAAAAACCAGATAAATGTGAACAGAAACTTGATACATTTTCAGATGTCCCTGCATTTATTTTCAATCTCAGCTCTGTTTTTAATGAAATGTAATATTAGTATTAAGTCAACTGTATGACAAGAACAATCATATGTTGTCAACATGGCAGCGACCCACTCCATGTAGAAAAAAACAGCTTTTATCTCAAGTATATGAAAACTTCAACAACATTTCTCAAAAGTGGTGATCATGTCTTAATGTTTAAAACTTTAGACATCACACTGCATTAAGTTTCAAAGATGATTTTTAATGCATCCACCCTCCTGTATCTGACAAGATAATCCACACCTACAGGAAGTTCAGCCAACTTGTTTAAACACGTCTTGGCCACTGATATAAATGATCTCTCCACATTTTTCTCTGCAAATGTATTGACTGATTAAACGAATTTGATGATTCTGCATATCTTCTGGAGATCATTTGTTCCAAGGCTTGACACTTCTATCTGATACTGATTTAAACTTTCATTTTTGCTCTGAGCAGTGAACACCGTCCGGACTGACAGTTGCAACACCTTACCTTAGCAAAGCAAGCTAAAAGTTGCCAAAAAAAAAAAAAAATTAAGATGAATCACATTGGCTTTGGATGCATTTTAAGGTGGTTAAACTTTAGCTTTATTTGTTTAACGATCACTCACTCGCTCTCTGTTCTTCTAATGTGATCAGCAGACAAACATTCCAAGAATCGAACATTTCACATTAGCAATTTCAAATGAAAGGCTCTAACATTCTATACTAAGAATTTAAAACAGAAAAAAAACGAACATTCCATATTATTAATATCAGTATAATTTGTCATTCAAATATTCTAAAATTCAAACAGACCCAGATGCAGCAACTTTCGCTTCCCACACTTGTTTAAGTCAAAAGCGTAACTTGATATATCCATACAAATCACAGCATTACATATTCCAACCTAAAAGCATGTCAGTTCAGATATGAGACACCAGAATTTAAGTCAATGCCCGTTTTGAGCACTGCAGATCAGCCCATCTGGCCTGATCCACGCTGCCATGCTCCCTTCACATGGACAGATTCTTAAACTTACCCACAGCAATACAATCTTCACCTCATGTTACAACATTACATGACAGATCGCGTATGCGCCTGTTCTTACCTTCTCAGCTGTCGTAGGAAAAATATATCCAAGGCCGACTTTAATTTTGTACTATACACAGCTTTAGTTTCCCAGCAGCGGTCCCTGATCGCGCGAATGTTCCCTATGCCTCTGCCTCACTCAACTTCTCCGAGACTCGCCGGAAGCCACGCCTTGTTTTGTTTTCCCCGCCCCACGAAGAACGTGATTAGACAAAAGAGAAATGAGTGGCCTTGAAGCTCACCAATCACAAAACACATTCGTCTTAGCCCCGCCCATTCGGAGCGTGAACAGGTACGAAGTTCAATGTGGACGACGTGACTGCACTTACTTGTAGAACCAGTTTGCGGACGTCACACACGCAGTGAAGGCAGTAAACGTCAAGTATCTTCGATTAGTACGTTGATAGTATCATAGTGAGAATACAACAAAGTATAAACACAATTAACCTTTGGATAGTGTTTTTCTATTTTGAGCTGTGATGTGTTGAGGTTCCTAAACGGAAATTGCCACAAGATGGCACCATTATGCTGGGATACACAATATCATTATTTGCTGCATACAATTATCTATTTAAATAAATAAATAATAGATTTGGTTAATAATAAATAATATTATATATAGAAAACAATATTTTAAAGTTTAAATATTTTTAAAAGTGGTTTTAATTAAAATTTATGTTAACAAGCTTAAGTTTTATTGTTCCTCCAACATTAATGTACAAGAATATGACTAAACGTCAATAATGATTACTTTAATGGCTTTGCAATGCAAATGTGATAAAAAAAAAAAAAAAGTATGTAAAAGTGCAATCATATGGTGCTGTAAGCATGCCATATTGGTCTGGTTTAATAGCAACACAATGCAACATATGGGGTTTCTGCTCCATCTTTCTATCCACCAAGGGGTCCATACATTAATAGCATCCTTCTCAGAAATGTTCCTACCTTTTCTTACTGAAGGTTTTCTCTCTAGTGCTTTGTCAGGTGATTTCTTTGGTGGATCAAATGCTGCTTTCATCTGTGACACTTTCACAGACTGTGTTGCATCTAAGGTCAGATCAACTCGGGCCTCAGTTGGCTTGGTCCACTCCTTCATCTTCTTCTGCAACTCAATAGTTTCCTTTATCATATCAGAAACATGTCTTTTCTGTGCACCCTGTGGTGTTTCCATGCTGGTTGTTGGGTTGCTTTCTATTGCGTGCTTTTGGTCAAGCTGGCTTGAACGTTTCTCCTCTAACACATGACAATTTGCTTGTGTCGACAGCTTGTTCTGCTCTTTATCTTGTTTCTCGTTAGCTTGCATACTTATTAGGTTGCACATGGAGGAGGAATGTTGCACATCTTGTGCAGCAGATGTGTTTGCTGTGTTGTGTGCTAATGCAGCTCCAGCAGCACAACCATCCCGGACCTGATCGGATACGTCTGTCTGGCTTATAGTGGAATGAGTTGATGCATTTGTAAAAATCTTCAAAAAACATTTTTCTTGAAGTTGAGAAGAACCAGACAGAGTGACTTCTGTTTTCTTGTCCACACTTGGCCTATCATCTATGCGACCTGAAGCTGCAGTATCAAGACCAGCAATGAGCTCAGAGATGGAACCAGTTGCAGATGTTTCCTTGCGCAAGCTGATGGTATTCTGATTAGACTTGCCGACCTGGTCTCTCTCTGAGTTAGCATTAGCGTTTCCATCTAAGCTCTGTTGTTTTGTAGCATCTTCTACATCAATCACTGCACTTATAGAAGAGGAACGTTCTGGATCCATCTCATTTGTAGTATCCTTCACCGTCTCTGGAAGGGTTTGTATCACTGCCTGTGGACTCATTTCAGCCAGACTTTTCTCTGTGTGTACTTTGGCCTTTGCTAAAAGAGGGAGATCCTCTTTTTCATTTTTTTGCATAACTTGAACATCAGATTTACAATGGGGGTTCGAATCTGTAATGTCTTCAGAGAATGTAATACATTTCTCATCTTCATAGCTTTGTAGCCAGGGTTTGTTTTCACCCAGCATAACTACACTGGCAATATTAGATGTCACAAAACAACCCTCTTCCGTTTCTGTTCCATGCAGAGAAAGATCTTTTATCTCAGTTTTTTTTTCATGGGAATGATACGGACCCTTTGAAGCAGATTCCAGATTTTCTCTTTCTTCAGTCCCTCTTATGCCATCTTTATTTTTATGACCTCCAGCGGGTGATCTCCCAAGTGAAGGTTCCTTTGTCCAAGGGCTCTCCAAGTCTGACACATTAAATTGCCTTTCTTTCTGAAGCTCATCCTGTGTGAATTCGCCCGCAGATATTTGTCGATGGCTCTCAGAGTGACCCCAAGGTGACTTGGATGCCACTTCTAAGGTGCTGAGGTCCTCTGGGCTCTGCGCTCTTTCCAGACTCACAGCTTTGCTTTGTAAATCCACACCTGCCAGAGATGAACTAGTAAATCTGGTCTTTATGACTTCATCTGTTGGCTGACACCCCGTAACATTTTCTCTGGCTTTGCAGACATATTTCATTGGCTGCCCCTGAGTTTCAATGTTCATTATGGAGGAACGTTCAGCATGTGGGATTTCTGGTTGTCTGGCTGAGTAGACATCCTTCAAAGACCACCTTTGGGTTTCGACGTTCTTCGGGGAGGAATGTTCAGCGTTTGGGGTTTCTGTTACAACCTTATGTGGATTCTCTGGCAGCTTCTTCTGGTTTTCTTCTTTGCTGTGCTGAATTGCCTCAGTAGTGTCCTTTGATGTTTCCGCTTGTGAGTTCATCACAAGGTTTGATGTTGTGCGCTTGTTAATCAGCCTCTTGTTTTGCGATTCAGTCATGCTGGTCCTCAACATGACATTTTTGGTAATGACTAAAGCTTGGTTTTGAACCGTGAAGTGAACGTTGGCGTTGGCATCCCCACCACATGGTTTTGAAATGTCCTTCCTTTCCAGAATCTCCAAGGTAGGCCCTGTATTCTTTAGACTAATATCACAGGCAGCTCCAAAATCGAGTTTTCTCACCTCTTCCTGGCTCTTTAGCTTGTCGTCATCTCCACAGACAGACTCCATTTCGTTCTTTACATATGAAGCATGCTTCTTACTCCTGTTTTCTCCTTTGCGACGGCTTTCAACTTTGTCTTTACCAGGAAGGTCACACCTAAGGTTGTCCTGATGGTCTTCTAGTGTACTCTCCAAGTCTTTTCTGTCGTGGTTTGGTTCACCAGCCTCCCATGTGCCTTGCGTGCAGCTGTCAGACTGTGCGATTCCATTCAGCTGCTGTGGAGCCAGCGGTTCAGCCCTGTCTTCCTCGCTACTCTTTCTTCCTCCCTCTTTCTCGCCATCCCCTCCCTCCACAACCCCCCCATCCGTGGGAGCGCACAACTTATCATGAGAATCCAAACCATGCACTGGTGTAGGTGATGGTGACTCCCTGCCTGGGCCTCCATCCAATCTTCCACCGGCTGTGTTCTCCTCATCTGTCCAGACACCATGAATTTCAATGGTTAGATTGCCTTCCTCTTTGGCCCCCCCAGGGTCTGGGCTTGGTCCCTTTTCCTCTGGTCCTGCAGAGCTGTTGTCCTGCCCTAGCTCCCCCTCCTTGCCTTGGTTTTGTCCCATTCTGTAGAAAAAAAGTGAGAGAGATGTTATTGACAGTGTATTGTTGTGGAGCACAAGATGTTGATTATGGCATGACTCTGGCATGCAGGTTGTGCCAGTGTTTATCTCAAATTATTGCACACTTTCACTTCCCTGTACACAGTTTGATGCTCACTAACTGTCTTTTTCACTTTTCTGTCTCTACTTGTCATTTCGGATGAGCTAATTCTTATAATCATAGTCTAACCTGACTTGTTCTGTTTGCTTCAGCTGATCATTTGCTCTTGTCATCTTACTTTATGGCAAGTCTCTTTGTTGCTGGTATTAACTAAAAGCTCAAAGTGGGGGTTGACAGGGTTATTATAGTTAAATAAAACTAACAATAAAACTCAAGACATTTTTATTACTTGAAATAAAATAAACGTTAACTGAAACAAAATGTAAAAAACCTTAAAGTTATTTTATTTTAGCTAGTTGCCAAAGCAACATTTGTCATTTTCATATAATTTAAGTTGATGTACTAAAATATACAATTAAAACTGAAATAAAAATTAATATACTAATTTAAAAAATGAATAAAATGACAAAAACACACAACAAAATAAAAAAACTTAATTAAAAGTTTTAATTAATTTAAAACCTTAACTAATTTAAAACTTTAATTAAGATTAAAATGAAAATGGAAAACACAAAATTAAAAACAATTTCAAATTGTTATAGTAGAAAAGGGATACTAAAATAACACTGGTGGATAAAGTACATATATCCTGTACTTGAATTAAAATACAGATGCCCTGCTGAAATATTACCAATAACAGAAAAAGCACTCCTTTGTCATTTTCACTTGAGTAAAAGTATAAACGTTTTACTTTTGAATATACTTATGTATTAAGAGTATTGATCTATAAGTTGATTATTTTCTTACTATGTGTTACATTCCATAATATGGAAGCCTATTTCCAAGAAGAAGAAAATTAAAAAATCATGCTTTTGTTCATCATAATTACAATATACAAATTCATAATTATGACTTAAAAAGACAACATTATGAGATACACAACAGTTATGAGACAAAAAGTAAAAATCATGACAAAGTCATAATAATTATAACATTGAAAGTCGTAATTATTATATAAAAAGTCAACATTATGACATAAGAGAAGTCAACCATTCTTTTCATTATTATGATTTACCAAAGTTCTGTGCTTAAGGTTAGAGCTCAGTATGACATTATGGATTTGAGGAGGCAACACACTTAAGCTTTGAAGATCTTTTTATTGCTTTGAGAAAAAAAAAAAGATAATATTTCTCTTGTTAAAGAGACTTGCTCCAACTGGATCACTGAATCAGTTAGATGTTACAGCTATGGATCAGTAAAATTCACAAATGAATCATTCAGTGTAGTTTATGAATCACATCGAAAATCAGTGCAAAAGATTGATTTATTCACAAATCGGATCACATTTTTTAAGTAATAAAATACACAAAACACATCTACAAAACTATAACCAAATGAAACAGCAGCAATGTGTTTTATTTGAACCTCGACTTCGGTGGGAACAGTGTTTCTTTCCTCAGTGTCTTGTGACTACAGCATATCTGAGCAGCCATCGACTGTTCATTCTTGTCTCGTTACATGAACTGTACCGTCAGCAAGAACACCAGGAATTAGAGTCACAAGATTTTGCAGGAGATCTCTGAAGCACTGTCAATCATAGTCTTCACAGAATCTACAATCTCGTGTTCTGTCACACATTAGGGCAGGCTTTAAGATGGTTTAGATCCTACCTGTCCGATCGCTACCATTTTGTTCATTTAAATGGGGAGTCATCTCAATTATCACCAGTAAAATATGGAGTGCCACAAGGATCTGTCCTAGGTCCTCTGCTATTTTCGATATACATGCTGCCCCTTGGTAATATTATTAGAAAATACGGGATTAGTTTCCACTGTTATGCTGATGATACTCAACTATATATCTCAACAAGACCAGACGAAACTTCTAAATTATCTAAGCTAACAGAGTGTCTTAAAAATGTAAAAGATTGGATGACCAATAATTTTCTCCTATTAAATTCGGATAAGACAGAGATATTACTTATTAGACCAAAA